ATTCCTGGATTCCTTTGCCCTTCAGGACTGCCTCCCAAGGGACTTTTCCAACCAGACTCCTGAACAGGCAAAGTCTGCCCTCCGAAAGTCCAAGGTGGCAGTCTTGCTGACCCCTTTCCTGACTTCTCCAAGAACAGAAAACTCTATCATTTCATGATCTCTCTGCCCAAGATGGCCTCCAACCACCTTTCCTCATGGAATTAAAACAATAAATAGTTAAAAAACAAAGAAAATAATTTTTGTACAAAAAATATTTTTCTCTCCTAGATTTCTGATGTAGACATAGTGCTCAGGGACATGGTTTAGTCGGGGACTTGTCAGTGTTAGGTTAATGATTGGACCTGATGATCTTAAAGGTCTTTTCCAATCAAGGCAATTCTGTGATTCTGTAATTTTGTGATTTCAGTGTATGACAATATGATGGATCATGGGTTAATTGCTTGCATTGTGTTACATCATTTCAGTGGTAGTACAGCATGATGTGATAGAGCATAATCTAACCTGACATAGTTTGATGCAGTGGGTGATGACAAAGATCACAGACTGTTGTACAGACTTTGTTCTACAGACGTTGTTCTACTGAAAAATGCGTAATTGCCTGAATGAAATGTTTAGTGATTTATGTTTTGTTGATGAAGACTCAGAGTCTAATTGCTGCCTGTGGCTTTTACCTCTAGACACATTCTTGGGGTCCATAACCTACATCAAGTTTGTTTTCCTTCCTCAGGCCTTTTGGGAGCTGTTAATGTGCAATACCTACTGAGTGGATCCAGGGGTCAATGCTGGGCTCCTGAAAGCCTGTTAGTAGGGCCTTCTCTTTATGGAAGCTCTCATTTATTGTTTGCCAATAGGGATATAAAAGGTAGCTGAAGCATTCCTAGGCTTTGCATAAAGCATACAAAAAGTTAAACAGCAGAAGAAATAGAAGACTTAGGGATACTATTAAAACACATATTGCTCTGTGTAATTCCCATTCCTCCCTGTGTAAGGTTGTAGGTTAATATGAGCTAAAAATTCAGATTTATTTCTCTCTGCCTTCTAATGGAAATGAACTATCACCAGAAATATCTGGTCTTGTATCAGTAACCACTGCAAGTTCTGTTAAAATGATTTTTTTCTGAACTCCATATCCTTTGGTAACTGGCTGCTGAACCAGAATGGGTAGCTTGGTAGCTCCCCTCTTGCCAAATTTGTACTCTCACAGGACTCCAGTAGCATGATTCTGGTGATCAGTTAGAGCCGCATGGGTGGGGGTGATGGGTACTGTATAAAGAAGATTGTCCTATTGCTCTGTGTCTTTGAAAATCTTTGATTCCCCATATTCCAGATTTTCTTTGCAGTGCCAGGCAGAAAGATTTAAAATGTGATTCCTTAGTAGATTTTATTTCTGTTTTTTGTTTGAGGACTCTCCCTGTATGCTGCTAGCTTTTCTCTGTCCATCTGTAGGAAGGTGGTTCTAGGGTATCATATAAAAAACTGCATCTGCCCTGGACATAAAATCTGGAGACATAGATTCCGAAAATATATGCATGTGTGGATATTTTAACATTGATACAGTTCCATTTCAAGGTTTCTCCCTTAGGGAAAAGAAAAAAAAAAAAAGAAGCTTGGTAGAGATACACAGAGCTGTTTATGGGAGTACAAAAATTAATATAGTTTCTAGGTTAGTTTTATAATGTTTCTGCTTCCTGTTTCACTGAAACAGTCCCATACGCAACTTTTCTCTTCTTTAAACAGCATTTTCTACCTGAGGTAGTTGCACTACATTTGGAAAAGAAATCAGTTTTACATTCTAATGTTAGTGCCACTGTAATTCTAGTTTCATGCATGGCAGATTTCCTTGCAGAGCCAAGTTTAATGCACTTCTAATTAAAAAAACCACGCAAACAGTATGATGCTACCTTGCAATATTATCAAATTGCTCATCTTATTTTCACAGCTCACCATGTTAAAACTGGGACCTGTGAAGTGGTGGCACTCCACAGATGTTGCAATAAGAACAAGATAGAAGAAAGATCACAGACGGTGAAGTGTTCCTGCTTCCCTGGGCAGGTAGCAGGTACCACCCGGGCAGCTCCTTCTTGTGTTGATGGTGCGACTACTCTATTGCTTCCTTTTGTTGCATGTTCCTAGGGAGTTTTGCTAGCTTAATGTCATCAATGAGAACCACTCCATTACAGTTAACTATTTAAAATAAAAGTAGGACATGCCCAAGGTGAATGGGAAGAAGAAGGCAAAAATTAATCATTTGCTATTACTCTGTGGAATGCTAAGCAAAATTATTAGATGCCAGTGAAAGAGACCTCTTGTGAAGCTAAATTTGATCTAACTAGCAGAGTGCCTTCAGAACTGTATGAAATTCACTTAATTAAAAGTGTTTATGCAAAATCTGCATGAGCATATAATTTTCATGTGCTGCAGTCTTACATTATATATTTATTTTTATCATACAGGAGCAAACAAGCAAACAAACAGAACATCATTCTGACTGTTTTTTAGTCTTTTTAGACCAACATTATTTTTCCTATTCACATTGCAATTATGTTTTACTTAACAAATCTGGCATAGAATCATATGTTTTATTTGAGAAAATACTAGCTGATTTTTCACATACCTGCCTCTGAAAGAGGAGCAGGACGGATTCACCCCTTACATGATCCCTTTACTGTTGATATGTTGTTGGCTGTCAGAGAAACTGTAAATATGTTACCTTTGGGGAATAAATTTAATCAGGCTATGCTAGACTATATAGTAGATCTGGCAAAATATACTAACTCAAAAGAAGAGATTCTACTTAAAACTTTGAAATCTGGCTGAGCAAGAAAAAATGAGGGTTGGAAAGAAATGCTGTGAAATTAGTTCCTGAACTGCAGTAAA